TGTGAATAAAGCTATTGCAATAATCATAACCTGCATATCTTTCCCATATGAACTATAAACCTACTTTTGCCCACCCCTGTATTTATTTAGGAAAAACTGATACTTTGATAATTTATGTTTAGCACCAATATAAGCCCTCTTGGACAAAAAAAACACAGTAACTAAAAGAGCCATGTGATAAAAAATACGTGAAGGAAGTGAGCATAGTCAATTAGTTTACAAAGGGAACATTATCACTTCTGTAGTGTATTTGATAACATAGGGTAAAAAGGCATAATAAGGCATAATCTAGGTATTCCTATTAAAGAATTAAGTAAAATAATTTTTCATTTCTATGAAAACAGCAGCAATCTTTCATGTTCAGTGATGCAGATTGAATATGGCTATTGAAAAACAGTTGATTAGTAAGTTTTAAAGTCCTATACTTAAGAAATAATTTTGGTAAACCTGAGAGTAAATTTGTTTAGAAATATTAAAGGCACAAAGCAGACCAAAAGAAAGTTCTTACTGTTAGAGAAGATTCATACAGTAATCTGCATTAGCAACTTGTGTACATAATTTGGTATACTTAGAATTATAGCCTAGAAGGGAGTGATAAATCAATATAAGAACTAAGAAAACCTAAGAGTTCAACAGTTAGATGAGTACTATGATAAAAAGTTGGAATGCGGAACTAGATAGCAAATACTTTTTTATTTTAAGACAAATGTATTCTCTCACAGGGTTGTTCCATAGAAAATAAACAATTATGTGACTCTTGTATGAAATAGGAATTGTTGTCAGGCAACTAACTAAACAAAGTTAAAGTACAAAGGTAAATGAGGCAATGAGACAGGTAAACAGCCTAATCTGCAGGAAAAGAACTTAAAGCTGTGTTGGTTATCATGCTGGCATTGTTTTTTTGGTCCCCCAGCAATGCAACATGGTCCCCATGTTCTTAATATGAAATAGATTTTCTATAATGAATGCACTGTTAATATTTCTTGTCTTTGGGACTTTGATTTATGATACTTTGTTTTGCAAAATTATCAGATGTCATACTTTCTATAAAGACAATTCCTATGTTAAGTTTAGAGGTAAAAATGGGTGGCGTATTGTTTTAATTTTCAAGTAAGTATGAAATAGAGTAACTGTATTACAATTCAGCAAGCATTTATTGAGACTCTCCTAACTAGTCTCTGAATCAAGAGACCACAATAAACAAAAGCTGATTTCTTGGCTGGTAGCCTTCACATATTTACTAAGAACATTTAAAACTGAGAACTGAAGTATTTATATGAGAGAATGAATGCTCCTATATTAATTTAGATCAGAGATTTACACAAAATGCTTGCTTACACAAAATATTTTCCATTAAGTCTAATAAGTATTCAAATTTTCTAACTCTTGTCTCTTATGATTCTGACACATATACTTTATTTAATGTCACCCAAACTAAAAAAAACAGAAAACCACTCTGAAGTCACACATCACAATTCTGACACATATACTCTATTTAATGTCACTCAAACTAAAAAGACAGAAAACCACTCTGAAATCACACATCAAAGTAAAAACTCTAATTTCATATTATAATCATTTGTAATGTACAATTCAAATATACTAAATTCCCACAGTGTAAATTTTAAAAGCATAATTTCTTTCCTTTCAGAATTGTCCTTTTTAATGGCAGGTTAGTAGATTATAAAATAGAACTGTAAGTTTAGATTCCCGTTACAAACATTGCCATCTTATACTTGAATAAAATGATAAAATCATTCTTTCTTGATCAGGTGCAATGCTGGTGCAAACAGTGATATTTTTAGTTAAAACACCTGACAGTAAGGAAGAATTATGAAACTAGAAGGTCTCTGTTTAAAAGAAAATAACAGTACAGATTCACATAAGTTAGATGTTTTATAATTTTACCCTTAAGAGGACAGTAGCAATCGAACAATCACTTTATTCAGAGAACAACTGTAGAAAATAAACATCTGATATTTTTACCCTTTCTTGTTTAAAAGCCAGATACTAATTTTATAAAATATATCAATAAATGCCTATAAAATAAATATATTAGTCCATAGCTCAAGTGAAAAACAAGGTTTATATATCATCCTTCTCTTTAATAATAACAATTTGAAAGTTGTTTTTTTAAAAAGAAAATATTTAAGGCATAATATGTTTTAAAATCTAGCTTCCGGAAACAATTTCACATTTTATAAATTCAACAAAAATCTGCACTTTACTCAAAATGTAATTTTTGATTTTGTAAACTAAGAATTTTAATCCAAACTGATTCCGTCAGAGCAAAGCAAATATCACAGGGTCTGTTTCCTTATCTTTTAAAGGTGATGGTAGTACATCCTCAAGAGCTATAGGAAAGATTAAATAACAGATATAGTGCCAAGCCCAGTGCTGAGTACATAACAGGTGCTCAATCAATGACAGCTATCACTCTTCAGTCAAAGACTGGACATCTGCATGTACTCCCTCTTCCTATGTCAAATTCTTTTCTGCCAATAGTCTTAGATGTGAGGACATAAATTTTGATATAGATTCTTAAAATGACATATTCCTTTTGTTCCCTCCCTGGGGAGTCAACAGTTATAATGGTAGAGTTTATTGTTTTTAATTAATACCTAGTGGCTATTTGGTCTTAATATTTGATGATATACAAGTTTAAGACCATTTTCAAAAATGGGTTCCATGAATAAGTCTGTAATAGGTCTGAATTTTAATCTAACAATTATATAATTCTCAGTATTTCTTGAACCCTTTCTTTAAAAAGTTATAAATTTTTGCTTCCTTTTATTAATTTCTCTTCATCTCTCTATCAGTATTTCCAGGAGAGGACTGAGCAATCCACCCCACATAACTAATGATATCACCTCCATGCTCTTCAGTTCCTGAACCAATGATCCATTTAGGTAATTCTACTTTTTCTAACACAGAGAAAAAACTGGGCCATTAAAAACAGAACATTATAATAGAACAACTCTTTAAAAAAATGAACTTGAAATATTCAATTTACCTAGTCTAATTACATGATAAAATAAATCTGCTTATATAGATACTAGAGGCCCAGTGCATGAATTTGTACACCAGTGGGGTCCCTTGGCCTGGCCTGCGGGATCGGGCCGAAACCAGCTCTCCGACATCCCCCAAGGGGTCCCAGATTGTGAAAGGGCTTAAGCCAGGCTGAGGGGCCCCACCAGTGCACAATCGGGGCCGGGGAGGGATGTGGGAGGTTGGCCAGCCAGGGAGAGACCACAGGAGGGCTCCAGGGCGTGTCCGGCCCATCTCGCTCAGTCCCGATTGGCTGGACCCCAGCAGCAAGCTAACCTACCAGTTCAAGTGTCTGCCCCCTGGTTGTCAGTGCACATCATAGCGAGCAGTTGAGTGGCCTTAGCATATCATTAGCATATTACTCTTTGGTTGAACGGCCGATCGGACACTTAGCATATTAGGCTTTTATTATATAGGAGAGGATGTGTGAAAATCAGGTCATCACATGATATTTCTACCTCTAGACCAGTGTTACCCAAATGAACTTTCTGTGATCATGGAAAATGATTTGTATCTGTGATGCCCAATTAGGTAGTCACTAGCTAAATATGGCTACTGAAAAGTAAGATTAAGGAGCCTAATTTTTAATTTAATTATTAGATTTAAATAGTCACATGTACTACAACAATGGATAACATAGCCTTAGACTTTCCTTTCCTGTTCTTGTTCTTTACCATTGTGAGTCTTATACAGATGCTCTTATTAAAGTCCCTGTATTAAATGCTTCTCTATTATCTCTAAGATCAAAAGAAAGAGAATTTCTGTAAAGAATTTTCAAAGCTAGCTTTAAAATGTGCTTTTTAATGAAGAGTACTAATCAGTTTACTAAAAAATTAAATTAAGAAGAAATAGCACATACATCTCTGAGTGCTTGAAATGGAAACTTTTAACAATATATACTTTCTCCTAAATTCTTTTGTCAGCTACATAATTAGTCCCAGGGTAAGATAATGGCATAACTACAAATAAGTACAGTGCAAATGATAGCGCAACCAAGCAGAATTAAGGGAAAAAATGAAAATCATTCTGTACCTGTCTCTTCACTGTGAGAATACAGAAATTAACTAATAGAAATATGATAGCTCAAATGCAACAATACAATATGTATGTCAATGAAGAGTTGTATAATTTTTATGGGTAGTACTATTTAATTTACCTCCAAAAATTAAATCTTACCACAAGTTTAAGGGACTTTTGGATGACTACTAATGGTTCTTTTCTTTTCTGTTAATCCTCAATTCTCTCTCTCTCTCTCCCTTCCACACTCTCTAAAAATCAATTCTGAGAGTGTGGAAGGAAGAGAGAGAGAGAGAAACATTGATGTGAAAGAGACACATCAGTTGGTTGCCTTTGCACATGTCCCGACCAGGGCCAGGATCAAGCCTGCAACTGAGGTGCATGCCCTTGACTGGAATTGAACCCGGGACCCTTCAGTCCCCAGGCTGACACTCTTTCCACTGAGCCAAATCAGCTAGGGCCTAATGGTTCTTTTCAATTAAATCTAAGCATACACATTATTTTAAAGTAAAATTATTTAAAAGGTGGCCATAAGATCTCAGATTAAAATATTAGGTCTTTTAATCTTCCTCTGTTTCTCCTCCCTAGTCTCCTCACATATAAACACAGTCATTTTTTAAAGAACAAATGTAGGTGTTAAGAAAAACAACTATCTGTTAAAAATGAAATAATGGCCTCTCTCTGGGAATGGTATTAATGTCATCACCATCACCAATCAATTCCTCCTTTCTTCTGACTATCAACTTGGCTTTCAGTACTTTGGGGATGGCGATATGGGGTAGGAGTATGGAACATGTAAAACAACCTCAGTATACAGAGATAGGATTCAAAATATTCAAGTTATGTGAGTGCAAGTTATGGATAAACTACATACCAATTTCTGAATGACTGTTAATCTTTTTGTTTGGCATTTGAATAAACATAATGATACTTACTATTTTGAGTCAGGGCTTGAAGCAGACAATCCAAGCATCCTTCTAAACTATCCTCAGTTCTGTCAACAGCTGTTATCTTCAGCTTCTTCAAGGTATCACTGAGATTATCTGCTTATCAAAGAAAAAGAAACCTTACTAAATATATGGCCATCATATGCTACATAACAAACAGTTAAAATAATAGACAAAGGGCTCTATTATAGTGAATTAACATCCACATACATACCAAAATGGCAATGGACTGTACTACTACTAATTTATTAAATAAAATTTTATCCATTTAAGTCAAATATGAAGAATTCATGCTGTATATATAAAATATCAGGAATAGTCCACAAACGGTTGCAGAACATCTTTTTCAGCATTCTTAGATCTTATTTAGCTTGTTCAAGAAACTAGCCATGGTTAATCAAAAAAACAAAAACAAAAAACAACTAAAGTTCCACAAAATAAAATTTAGTTTTGCAAATATTTTATTTCATTTTATGCTGCTTCTGTTGTATTTTAAAGACATAAAATTAAAATGAAGGTTTAGAAATGTTTCAAAATAATATAACTTAAAATAATACCATCTGTAACTTACTTTAACACTGCCATTTCAAAAACACTTCAAATCAAAATACTGCTTTAAGCCAAAACATGCACAAAACTATGCTCACCTCCTAATTATACATATTTGGATTCCTAGACCATAGATTATCAAAATCTCTTTACACTACTAAAAATTATTCAGAATCGCAAATAAGATTTTGTTGTTTTTTTCCATCGTCACCAAGGAAAAAAATA